TTGGTATTCTTGTGTATTTGCAACCACGCTGAGCCTGTCAGACGCCCTTGCGGCGGCTTGGTGGAGGTCTGACAGGTGGCCGAAAGGCACGGGTTGAGTTGAGTCTGGGTACAACGGGTCATGGATGTACTTCTAAAAAATACATACTATGCTGGGGTTGGGTGAAATGTCCCTTAAGGGGCTTCACTTTCATCCCAGCTGACTTTTCCAATTGGTCAAGTGTTCCGGCTCTTTGGTGGAAGGTCTTAGGTTCGATTCCTAGTGTGTTGATCTTGGGATTCTTGTGTATTTGCAAGCGCGTTGAGCCTGTCAGACGCCCTTGAGGTGGCTTGGTTGAGGTCTGAGAGGTGGCCGAAAGGCACGGGTTGAGTTGAGTCTGGGTACACTGGGTCATGGATGTACTTCTAAAAAATACATACCATGTTGGGGTGGGGTGAAATGTCCTTTAAGGGGCTTTTGTTTCATCCCAGCTCAGTTTTCGAATTGGTTAAGTGTTCCGCCTCTTTGGTGGAAGGTCTTAGGTTCAATTCTTAGTGGGTTGATCTTGGGATTCTTGTGTATTTGCAAGCCGGGGAATGACTTACGTGGACAACCTGTACCGCTTGTATGAGCCAATGGAAGTAGGCACGGGCCGATAGGAGAAACAAGAAAAGAGGGAGGAATAAAAAAAGGAAAGGATATCGGGTTAGGGACCGGGAGGCTGCCCGAGTGATGGTCGAGGAATGGATGAAATAAGTAAAGTTCGCTTACTGTTTAAAACTGTGAAGGGGACCGCTAATCAACAAATGGCGATGAGACACGCCCGGGTGTTGCGACGGCCCACGCACCCTCGGCCACCCACGGAGAGTGGAGGCGAATGGGAGGTATCGCTCCCGACAAGCTACGTGGTCCGAGGGATTGATACCGAATGGAGAGTTGTGACCTTGGGAAGGGACCAGGCGTTTATGATGGTAGAATGTTTGTGGAGACGTACGAGGTTCAAGAGGGGGCCGGGGGACGACCCGTATACCGATCTGAAGGTGACAGGAACTGTATACCTACTATAGTTTGGATGGCACATGCTAGGAACGGAGTTGGCACTAGGGCATGGGCTGTTATCGATCTTCCAAAGGGCTACTAGGATAGTGAACGGGATGGGTGAGGAGGTGCGAGAGAGAAGGAACGTGGGATTGAGAACCCGGGTGGAGGTAGGAGGATGGCGAGAGTTTAGGGCCCCGATGACGGGATTGCGGTGCCGAGTGCCTCGTTTCATGGTGGGCTTGGTATTTGGTAGCCTCTCAAGAGCAAGAGACCTGGTGGACTCGACCTTGGTCTGGACCCACTACTTTCGGCCGCAGACGACGGGAATGTTTTACGATGTGTCAGTTAGGCACGGGGCGTTTTGGGGAAACCAGGCCCGTGAACTACTCGAACTCATCGAAATCCTGATATTCGGATTACCACGCTTGGCGTTTGAGGAATATGAACCAATAATTATCAGGGAGATAGAAATGGGAGAAAATTATCTTGCAGGGGTGGTCGATCTGTTTGAAGAACCTGACGAGCGAGATAGGCCTGAGGGACCGGCGTGAGAAAAAAGTATCGGGGAAAGGTAGGGAAAAAGTAAAAAGTGGAAACCGGAATGAGAAGCTAGCCGGCAGCAAGGGGGCAGTGGTCGGAGTTCCGCCTAACCTGAGGACATGGCAGGAAGGAACTATGAAGATCACCCGCGCTGAAGACGCTGGGGCATCCAGGTGTCAGGAAGTCAAAAGGGCTACCCGCGAGAGGAGAACCGCTAGCCTCGGACACCGCCCTAAGAACCGGGGCACGGCAGTGACGTAATGCCAAACCTCGGCAGGGAGCCTTCCAGCAGAAGAAAAGTAGAATGGCACCCTGTAGGAAAATGTTAGGTGCGTCGCCCCGACCAAAATTAGACGGGAAAACATGGAAATAAGCGAGAATGAGGGGGACCTTAGGGCTCGGGGACTAGGGAAGTTATGAACAACCGACCGTTTCGCAAAAAAAAAAATTCCCATGTTAAGGGTAGGTAAAGGTATGGCGTCAGAAGAGGAGGCCGAAGGGCTGCGGAGCAAAGGGAGTCAGGGCATGGATAGAGGCGGGGAACGGAACGAAGGGTCAATAAGGGACCGAGAGTCAGCAAAGCCAGAGGGGACCAGGGAAGACGGGAAGGAACATTCGACAGGGGAAAGTTCGGGGAAAGCCGGGGGAAGCAAAAGAGGACCCCAGGAAAGTAGGTAAAAAAAGGACAACGACAGGACGAGTCCTCGAAATTCTGACGGGACCACGCCCAAGAAAGCGAAAGTCTCGGACGCACGCCGTAAGCTGGCAGAAGTAGAAAAGCGAACCGCAGAATATAAGGCAAGGCTTATTGAAGAGATGATGGCAGGGAACGAAGGAGACCTTCTGGGGGAAGGGTCACGAGAAGAACACAGGGCCAGTCAGGGCGAAGTCAGGCACGGAGGGAAGGAAAATAGCCATAGGGGAACACCCAACAAGAAGGGGAAGGAAAAGGGGGACTTCCCGGCCGTAGAAGCGGACAAGGCTACGACTGCACCTGCTATAGACAGTGGTGCTAGCCGTTTGCCCGCCACGCCGAAAGTGACCAAGGGGTGCGACGGACTTTGGAGTCTCAGAGAAAGGGGGTTAGGATGGTTTGATCCGGAGGGTATGCCAAAGGCCGGGGAAAAGCAGAAGGATAACAAGGAAGGAGAAGGGACCAATGCGGTCGGTGAAGTTGGGAGCTCTGAAGGGGGCCTCAAGAGGATAGTGGTCACCCTCACTCGGGCGCTGAATAAAAATCAGGGGTATCTTGCGGATGCCAATAAGAAACTTACTTTCGATGGGGCAAATATTACGGAGTTCCTGATAGACTACGAGAACCTGGCAGCCTTGCTGAAATGGACCGAGGAAGAAAAGATGGACCACTTAGGGCAGCATGTGTCGCTAAGCTTAGGAAGGAACATTATGGCTATTGTCGCCTCTAGTGGATCCTGGAAAGAGACCCGGAACGAGATGATGAGGAAGTACCTGAAGGCAGAGAAAATGGCAATAGAAGCCGAATTGGCGGCAGTCCAAAGGAAGAACTATGCGACTTACAACGACTTCCTAAGGGCGTTTACTCTAGTGGCACTACGAATTCCCGGGGTAACGGACCGTATAATGAGTAAGTATTCCTCAGGCAGTTCTCCGAGTTCGACAAGGATAAGATTTTGTCGGCCTACCAGCAGACTAGTAAGTTCGAGTACACAAGGGATGTGGATTTCAGCACGGTAACAGACCTCGCAGAAAAGACAATAGTGACCGAGACACTAGCCCTGCTTAAGGAAGGAGAGGTTATAGACCTGACTGGGAAAACGGGGGACAAGGTCAAGAAGGGGATAGAGAGCCTGCACGAATGGGTGCACGGGGTTGATAACAAGATAGAAAGAGTGAAAATGCGCTATTAGTAATGCAGGCGCAGGTGTCCCGACCCGCCCTCCCGCCCCAAGAGGCCGTAATTCCGACGGCAGTAGCAAATCGAGGGTATGGCAGGAGCGATCCGGCCAATGAGCAATGCAAGTATTGCACAATGGTCGGACATTTCGTACGGGCCTGCCCAAGACTCAACCATGATATCATGAGGCAGAGATGCAGCAGGTCCCTCAAAGGTGAAATTTTCGGGCCTCAGGGGGAGCGCATAAACTGAAATTCGTCAGGAGGGATGCGGCGTGCCGTCATCATTCTGAATAACCTGGATATAGCTGCTGTAGAAGCCGAGCCGGTAGCTGACATTGTCTGGGACCAACCGAGGGGACGCGCACCACAAGTCAATTTCATCCTAGAAGGTAATGGACAGGACAGGGTGAACATCACCACCCGGCGAGCAGGCGCGGAAAAGAAACTTATTCGAGATACGGTAATGGAAGAGGTCGCGGGGACTAACACAAATCAAGGTGAAACCGAAACCAAGGAGCCGGAGAAAGTCTGCGGAAAAGCAAGGGAAGAAGAGCCGATAGACAAAGAGGTGGCGGCAAAGAAGAAATTCAGGTACCAAATTCTGATCCTGACTATGCCAGAAATCGACGATACCCTGAGCAAACTGCTAGGTACCATGGTATCTGTATCCTTTCAGACCATGTTGCGTAGAGGTAGAGGAGGCCCCGGAACCACAGGAGCAGGAAACGGACGAGGCTGAGGCACCGCAAGGGGTCTCCAACCTCCAGAGGATCCCAGGGGATCTGGAGGACCTGGAAAAGGCCTTTGCAGACATCCGCCTAAGCCTACCGGACCGAGAGGGTGGTGAAGTCATGAGGGCACAACCCGGGACGAAGCTCAGCTTCCATGCTTTGCCCGTAGGAAAGTTGAAAGTCCAGATCGGAGGAGATTGATTTCCCGGTGGAAGCTTTGGTTCCTACCTAGAACAGTCTAGATAACAATCCGCACATGTCTACGGAGGAATTAATCGCCGCACGATGCCAACAGGTCATTAGAAATGAGGAAGCCTTGGAGGATGTGGTTAAACGTGTGATGGATAGCCGAATGAGGGACAAATCAAGGTGGGACCAGGTCAAGAACATCTGGAAGGAGCCACTCCACTTGGGGGAAAAGGTACTAGTTAGGAACTCAACTCTTGAAAGCACGTGGTCCGGACAGCTGGGAAGAAGGTTCAAAGGTCCCTACAGGATCGCAAGGCGGGTGGGACTGAACACTTTTGAACTTGAGGATCTTGATGGTACTAGGATAAAAGGGTCATTTCCGGGACAAAGGCTGGTCAGGTTTTTTAGCAGAGATCCGGTGGAGCAATGGTTACAGGAGGCTCATGACAAGGAAACAGGGGAATTGACAACTTGAAAGGCAGGCAGCCGGCCGTAACTCTGTACCGCGCCTTTGTGGAAGTAGTCATGACTGCAGGAGTTGTTCATTTTTGTGTCTTCCTTCCTTTTTTTTCGGGCATGGGGTGACTGCTTGGGCGGAGTATGAATGGGGTTGGGAGCCTCAGACAATGTACTATAGTTTTTGTGGGGCAATTTTGGGGATGGCCTATATGGGGTATCTATGTGTTGGGGCAATGTACCAAAGTTTTTGAGGGATAATGGGACTGCCGCCTATGTCGTTACTCTGAGAGGGCTATCAATCATATGGGGGCAAGCAAGGGTTCTGGGGAATGAGCCTGCAAATCCACAATGGGAATAAGGGGGAATGTATGAGTATGGGGGTTGTGGTGTCTCCTCCTTGTTATGTATGCACAGGAACAGTGTAAAAGAAAACAGCAAGAAAGACAAAGATGGAATTCGGAAATGAGAATGACAGCAATGCCATCAACAGGCCCAGTGGGGACCAAGGGGCAAGGCAGGGGGACAAAGCACCAGAAAGAGGAAACTGTATATGGGTTTTGACTTCAACTTGGTCGTGGGCCGAGGGGGAAGGAAGCAAGGCACCAGGGGACCCTCACCCCTGAGGAAGGGGGAACCAATAAAACTCCCATCTGACAGTGACATCAGTAAGAAGGAGGATATGAGCCTAAGGAAGAGGCAGAGGTTGGATGAGGAGGAGCCCAACGAGGTCATAGACCTTAGTAGCGGGGAGGAGGACGACGAGGTCACGACGCCAACAAAAGAAGTACGGGCAAGGGATGAGGACCCAGGCGAGGAGAAGGACAAATGGATAAAAGAGTTTGGGCCGTCTTGCAGCGACTGGTTTGATCAATGGGCCAGTATCCTGCGGTATGAATGGGCAATCAAAGGAAAGGAAAAGTTAAGCAGGGGAGAAGATATAGCGCCAACAACCTTCTTCACAGAAGAGGCCCTCCTTGATCTGCAAAGAACGAACAGGAGGATGCAGCAGGAAATCGACGATCGTGCAAGGGAGGCTCAGCACAGGGCAACTGAGCAACAAGGGGACAATAGACATAACAGGGAATTGCTAGAAAATGGGGAGGATGGGTACCTGGGCAGGCAGAACTGTCATTCTGGCTTTTGCTTTTGAATTTTTGGGAATAAACCACTATGGGACAGCTTTCCATTCGGGGAATGACTAAGGACTGGGTAGCTAGTGCTACTTTGCATAAGAATTTGCTTCTTCAGAAGGACGTGAGGACCAATGAGCTTGAGACTAGAGCTATGAAGGGCTGGTTATGACCAAGGAAAGCAAAGGGAAGAGGGGAGACCTAAATGAGACAGGTCGGTGGCGTCGTTCTTGCACTCGAATTTGTCTCCTTTGTTTTTTTTGGAAAAACTGCAACAGGACTGCTCCTTGAACTGGGGAAGTAAATAAGGGATTGAGTACCCAGTGCTACTTTGCATAAGTACTCGCTCCTTTGAAAATGTGAGGATCAATGATAGTGAGAGGGGAACTGGAAATAGTTGACTCTGTTTTGGGAAAGGGAAAGAGTATGGGAATTGTCGAGATTGAACAAAAGGCTATGGCAAAAGAGTTTTGTGAAATATGTGCCCTTAGATGAATGAGTCATGGTATGAGTCTCTGTGAGAGGTTAGGGGACCTAAGGGTAAAGGGGCATGAAGAATCCTCTTCCCTAGGAGCCTAATCCAACCTGTCCCGAATGAGTCCAGAGCAGCGAAAGGCATGTGAAGTCAGAAAGAAAGAAAACAGTAGTAGCCCGCACCCCCTTGCTTTGGTTGAACGACCGGGTGGGCTAGTGCTGCTTGGGGTTGCGAGCCTCAATTCGAGCACTAGACGCTAAGTCGGATGTATGTATGGATATGAGAATGATGACGGACATGAGACAAAAGGCAAGAGCATGAGGAAAACCTAAAGAGATGACCACCTTCTAACCTCCGAGACAGAGATAGGATCCGTGTCCTTGAGGCCCACCCCCTCGGGCGCTAACACTGGAAATGGATAAGGATGACCCTAACCAGGTTGTCCGATGGAAATGGATAAGGATGGCCCTAACCAGGCTGTCCGATGGAAATGGATAAGGATGACCCTAACCAGGCTGTCCGATGGAAATGGATAAGGATGGCCCTAACCAGGCTGTCCGATTGAAATGGATAAGAATGACCCTAACCAGGTTGTTCGGAATGGCTCCTGACAAAGGTCATTCTTTGGAATTGGCACTTGGGTCCCCTTGCATGGTTGTTTGAGATGGATGAGATTGAGGAGAGCTGAGCTTTGGAAAAGATATTGGACTCATCTTTGGAAAAGATATTGGACTCAGCTTTGGAAAAGACATTGGACTTAGCATTGGAAGAGATATTGGATTGAACCCTAAAATTGGATCGAGCTTTGGAATTGGAGTGAGCATTGGAATTGGATTGAGCATTGGAATTGGATTGAGCCTTGGAATCGGATTGAGCATTGGAATTGGATTGAGCCTTGGAATTGGATTGCGCATTGGAATTGGATTGAGCCTTGGAATTGGATTGGGCATCGGAATTGAATGAACATTGAAAATTGGATTACATAAACAGGGGACCCTAGGCAACTTGAAATGGACTTGGAAATAACATTGAAATGGATTTTTCTTTTCTTCTAGTCCTGGGCCTCAGCAAGAGAGGGGTACCGGTGCTCGCACCGCGACCTCAAGACCTCTATTCCTTAAAGGGAAAAGTCTCAGCGCGACCTGTTCCTCTTACAAGGGGATGAGGGTTAAAGGACCAAGGCACCTACCACTTGGATCGGTGCGGGACGTCCGGAACTGACCCTGACAAAGAACTCTAGTCGGGGAGTTCAAATTGCGCCTCGTGTTGAGAGCCTAAACGTTAAAGGGTGAGAGAACCAAATGGGCGAGAGAGTCATTCTTATTCTAGTCTATTTCGCTACTCTCCAACCACATGTCACACCATAGAGAGGTGGCATGGTCGTTTGGGTCGGACCTCGGCTGGCCGCACTAAGTTGGGCGGCACTGTCCAAGGGGAGGGGCCGGGCGAGGTACCGGGTGGAGGCCGCCACCACCACGAGGCATTGACACTGCCTTGCATGAGCATTACAACCGCTTCGGGACTAATTGTGTGGTCTTCGTAACTGCACTCGCGAACTAATAGAGAAACCCGACTCTCTTGAAAGGAAGAGGCCGGATCCATAAAATTACCACTCGGGAGGGACGATTCGCGAGGGAAGCTCTTACGGATAGACGAGGCCCTGGAGGGCTTGGATTGGACCTGCCTGTCAAATGTGAGGAGGAACCTCAATATTGATGCTCGCTACGTAATAGTAAAAGGTCGGATCGAGTAGGAGGATGAGACGTTCCCTTGTGAAACGGATGGGCTTGTGTCCTTGACTGCGGTCGGCGGGCCAAAGGTCTGCATACCTCCGAGTGAGAACCAGTCGCGCGATGGGGACATCGCGTTTTGAGTGGGGGGAAGGTGTGCCATCTACCAATGAAAAGGCATGAAAAGACTTGTGTAATTGGCTTTGCATGGGCCTGAGAAAAGGGGTCTGGCAAGATGTCCAGAACAGAAAAGACTTGTGTAATTGGTTTTGCATGGGCCTGAGGAAAAGGGGTCTGGCAAGATGCCCAGAACAAAAAAAACTTGTGCAATTGGCTTTGCATGGGCCTGAGGAAAAGGAGTCTGGCAAGATGCCCAGAACAGAAAAGACTTGTGTAATTGGCTTTGCATGGGCCTGAAAAAGGGGGTCTGGCAAAATGCTTAGAAGAGAAGGAACCTGTGTGATTGACTTTGCATAAGCTTGAGAAAGGGGTCTGGCAAGATGCCGAAAAAAGAAAAGACGTGTATAATTGACTTTGCATGGATCTGAGAAGAAGACTGGCAGGGTGGGAAACAAATGAGGAATTGGCGTGCATGGGCTTGAGAAGAAGGCCTGGCAAGGCATCCAGAAGAGAGATTCATGAGGGATGAACTGAGTATTGCACATGGAAAATTAATTAAGCAAGGGGCAAGAAAGGACAAAGGGTGATATGCATGCGAAATTGGCAGGGCTAGGGAAAGGCAGGGTGAAATGACCCGGGAAAAATGTATGTGGATTTGGCTAGGCCCGAGCTTTGGGGAAGAGTGACGAAAAACATGGATTGCACGGGCCGAAGGACCCGAAGGAAAGAGGTATTGAAAACATGGATTGCACGGGCCGAAGGACCCGAAGGAAAAGAGTATTAAAAACATGGATTGCACGGGCCGAAGGACCCAAACGAAAGGGGTGTTGAGGATGATGGTAACCAAAAATGAACCTGGCCGGCATGAGAGGAGAAAAGAAAAGCCTGAAGAAGATCCCTTGACTCCCCATACCCTCCTCCACCCCAAGGGCGAAAAACTAAAGAAAACCATGAGAAAGGAATGAGAAAGGACAAAAAAGAACCCTGGCAAGCTAACTACCCGTCTCACCCCACCCCTTCTTCCCTCCGCTTACATCCCCAAATCCCTTCTAACTGACTGGTGCGCGATGAAGACATCGCGAATGAGTGGGGGGAATGTGTCGGGACTGGTGAGTCCCGAATAACATCCCGTCACTCGAGAGACTGTATACGACAGATTTGTGCACAGCAGAGAAAACCGGAGGCAAGAAGGACGGAAAGTGTTCGAGCACTGGTATCAGGGGGCATGGAGGTTGCCCGGGTTGTCGGGGCCACAGGACCATGAGAGGAGTAGTCGAAGGGCAAGCGACAAGGGATTGCGAGAAAAATAGTCAAGGCGGCCGCTCCCCAGGAAAGGGAGAGGGACCGCATAAAGAAATAATGATATGGGGCGAAAGGAGGAGAGAGGATGACAGGTAAGGTGCCCGCATGTGAAGACGTAGCCCGGACCAAGGGGGCCACCGGGATGCGACGTCAAGGAGACCAAGGGGGCCACAGACCAAGTTAGAACCAGCGTTCGGGGAAGACGGTGCACGGGACACGAGAAGGACAAGGGAAGGAGGCCGCCATAAGGCGGAAAAATGACAAAGGTGTCGGGGACCACCAGCGGGACGAAGTGTCCGGGACCACCGACGGGACAAAATATCGGGGACCACATGGGATTAAGCAAAAAATGCGGTATCAGGATAAGTACCGACGGGACCACCAGCGGGACCGCTAGCGGCACTACTGCCGGGGACTAGCGCGAGACAAGTGACGGGGACTTGTGACGTCCCAAGGGGAAATGGTGGCGCGACATGTGGTGCAAATAATTAAAGCAAGTTGCACCGTCAAGATCGGAGATCTTGACGACCAAAAATATTAGCACCACTAGTGCAAGCACTAGTGGGAGCAAGTGGGAAGGCCAAAAGAAAAATAAAGAGCGAAGAAACAAGTGACGGGAGGCATGGGAGCAATCCGAAAAATCTCGGATTGACATTCCCCAACAAAACAGATTCCGTACGGACTCCGTGACAAAAATAGGCCTCCGGGAGAAAATCGGAGTGTGGGGGCCCACCGTTTGGGAGAGAGGGAGGCAAACGGAGACTCTTGTGGGCATGAGGGGGCCGCAAGTGCAGTCCGAGAAATAACGGACTGGCCCTTGAGCATAGGAAGGGCCAAAACTAAGAGGAAGGGCATAGAAAAGGGCCTTAACGGCCACTTGACACTTCCTTGGCGAATCTGGTCTTTCAAGTCATTCGAACACCCAAGTAAGATACAATTGCACCAAAGAAATCTCTACGTCGGGACAAAGCATCTGCAACCACATTAGACTTACCTTTGATAGTCTTGAGTTCAAAGTCAAAGGTGTGAATGAATGCAGACCATCTTACTAACTTGTCAGAGAGTCTGGACTGTGTTTTATCCACTGTAAGGTTGAGTGGTCTGAATACACAGTAAAGTGTCTCCCTGACAGGTAGTGCCTCCATGTATCCAACGCACAGACTAAGGCATAGAGTTCCCTTTAATCCATGGAGTTGGCGACTTTGTCACACGACAATTGTTTAGACATAAATTCTATGGGCCTATAGCCCTTGCCATCACCTTGTTGGAGAACAACGCCAATCCCATACTGACTTGCGTCAGTGGTGACAATGAAAGGCAAAGACGGGTCAGCAATCTTAAGGACAGGGTAGTGAGTCAGTGCATACTTCAATTTCCGAAAGGAAGACTCACAATCCTTATCCCACAACTAGATAGTTTCTT